CTGGGCCTTCGGGCCGCAGCCATGGCCATCGCCCACCTGGCCACGGAGTACGTGTTCTCGGACTTCCTGCTGAAGGAGCCCGGCGAGCCCAAGTTCAAGGGGCTGCGGCTGGAGCTGGCCGTGGACAAGATGGCCACGTGCATCGCCGTGGGGCTGCCGCTGCTGCTCATCTCGCTGGCCTTCGCGCAGGAGATCTCCATGGGTGAGGCCGGGAGCACGGGCGCTGGGGGCGCGGCGCCGGGGCTGTCCTGCCCGGCAGAGGTGACTGTGGCCCCTTGGCCAGGACGTGCTCAGAGGTGTGAAGGGCACGAAGTTGGGAAGAGAGTGTGGCCCCATTTTTGAGTCTCTTTTGCATCGTTGGTACCCTGTGAACGTCATTACTTCTCAGTTCTTTTGTCCCCGTTGTCCCACGGATTGAACTGTGGCGTAGAGCTCTAGTCTCCTGCTTGGAACTGTTGCCCTCGCCACCAGGTTTGCCGAGAACACCTGTGTCCCCATTTTTCAAGCCTTGTCCAAGTGTTTGCCCATTCAGCTACAGTTTTGTACCGGAGAAGTTCCTGGGTGGCTGCATGGAGAATGTGAAGCCAAGTGCTCTATGGAAAAGGTCCCACTTCATCTTGTTTTTGATACTTGCTTTAGTTTTCAAGGGTTGTAATGGGAAGTAACTGCACTTGACAGGAATTAGATCCTCCCTGTTACCCCTTATTGCGAATGTGATGTGAATACCCTTCGTGTAAATTCTCGTTTCATCATAACAGTTCTGTGAGGTTCTGTTTGGTCGTTTGGGAAGGATCACATCAGCTGTCCTGACTTTCAGCACAGGAGTGGAGTGTGCCTGAATCAACAGGAAGGTAGTATAGGAGGCTAGAACTGTTCTGGAGGTGGGGCCAAGAGAGGCCAGTGAGGCTAGACCACTGGTCCTTTTAGAGGCCGAGTGCCCAGACTGCAACCCCAAACCCACTTACTTGTCACGGAGTGCCAACATTGCCCCTATTGCGCTGTTATCCAATGCTTGGCTGCTGGAGGGATGCTGGGGCGATTTGGCTTGCGTGCCAACAGAGGACTCTGTGTGCCTGCAGTGGCAGGAGTGCCATAGGTTTGCCACCGCTGGGCTAGACTCTGGGGAAAGCTTGTATCAGTGCATGGATGGGAGTTGGATAAGAAGAGGTGAGACCATTTCCTAGACTTTGAGATGGCAGATAAAGTTGCATACTCCTGGAAAAGGAGAGGTAGAGATCCCCAAACGAAGGCAGGAAGGTTAGTCAGGATTTCTGGGATCTGAGAGCACGTGTGGGCTCAGCAGGTCAGGACAGCCCTACAGCAGCACAGACTGATAGTCGCAAGCGTAAGGAGAGGACAGACTGGTTGAAAACAGCACTTAATAATAGCTAGATAGTGACACGCAGGGTCCAGGTGTAAAGAAGGGGAGAGGGTGAAGCTAGCAAGGGGCTGGATGGACATCACTGAGATCTTGTACATGAATGGTGCCAACAATGGAAGAAAAAATTATTTCTGAGAGATCAGGGAACAGTAAAGGTGCATAGATTTTAACAGGCCACAGAGGATAGAGACTAAATGTGTTGCAAAGGTTGTAGGCCTGAGTGAGTGGAGAATGGAGGTGTTGTTGGTGGAAATAATGAAGCTGAGGGAACAGTTACGAAGAAAAAGGTGAGGAGTTTGACTTTATTATCTGCAGCACAAAGTTGTTCAGTTTTGACAGGCGGTTGCCAAGTAGTTGTGGAAAGTAGGTTTGTATTTTTTGTGGTGCTTGGGAGGCATAGTCATTGGGGTTTCCTTTTGCCTTCTAAATGACAGGGCACTGAGGCTTCCAACTGAAAGGAAAACCACCAAATTACATGGGTCTGGAGGTAAATCTCTCCTTTCAGCAAACGCTGAGTACTGGCTGTGTGCTGAACAAGTGCCAGACACCACAGACCCAGAAATTAGCATAGTCCCCTGTCATGGACACCTGGTTGGGGCAGAGAGGCAGGAAGGAGGAACTGATGACTCTCCGTGGCCAAAGTCCAGCTCCACTCTAGGGTACCTACTGGAGGGACACCTGAGGTATCTCCACCAGCGGTGCCTTAGATATCTCCACAGTGATGGTTGGGAGGCAGTTTGACAGCTCAGGAGTGAGTTTACCCAGCAAGGGTCTGAGGTCTTGTTGTGTGTACAGCACTGTTGTGCTTTGAGGGGATGTGAGAATTGGAGACATGATCCTGTCCCTGCCCTGTGGGACTTCACTCCCAGGTGAGCACTAGAATGAATCTGCCAGCAAGTAACATCTTTCACCAGTGTTTGATTCACTGTCAAGACAGGTGTTGAACTCTGAGCATTGGCAAGGTAAAGGTTGGCAGGCTCCTGGGAAAAGAACTGCCAGGCAGATCTCTATGTCTTCTAAAGTACTTGGGCTCCAGGGGCAAGACAGTCATGTGAGATGCCGCAGACAGGACCAGGAGAAGCCTGTCAGATAGAGTGTACATTTAGATCAAACCAGGGGAAAGGAGGGAGGAAGTACATAAATTGATACACAGAGTTGGTGTAGTGAGATCTGTCATGCAATATTTAAATTTGTGTAATTTAGCTGTATGCCCTTGGACAAAACCAAAAAAAGAAATAGAACCATAATAACGACAGAGTAGAGTAATTTAAGTGGATGAGGCAGTTTGCCCAGCACATTGGTCATTGAATGTAGAAGTGTGAGACAGGCTGCAAACTCCAAGGCTTCCTCCCTGTCCTGATAACTACAGTCTACCCCTCTGGTGTGTGGCATACTCTCGTTGTTGTACTTTACATCTTGCATATGGCTGCCTTATCTACAAATAATTAATCTTTTATTGAACCCTGGTAGCTAGATCATGGCTGTAGAAGCCCCTCTGCAGACATTTGTTGAATGAAAGAAAGATGATAGCTTTGGGGATCATCAGATAGTTACTCAGCCAAGTGTGAATGGTGCTGGTCTTTAGATGTCAGATACACTCAAGACATGAAATCTGTCCCTAGGGAGAGTGATCCAGCAGAAAAGTTAGATACACGGCCCTCCCAGCATAAGATTCACAGGACCTGAGAGGCATCAGAGGTACTGTATGTGCTAAAATCTGTGCACTGGAAGGCAGGAAAGGGGTTTCTTCTGACGGAGCAGTGAGAAGTCAGAGCAGAGAAGAGCTGGAGCTGCACTCTAAGGCATGATCCCAGGGGTGTGGGACTACAGGAGCTGAAGTGGAGATGTGTGAGACAGTGTGGGGCTATCCGAGCTGGAGGGCTCAGTCATAGAGACAGGTGGGAGTCAAAGTCAGTACACAGGTGCTATAAGACAGTGGGTACAGGAACTGTCCTTGCTGTCTAATTTGTATTGGTGTGTAGGCATAAAATTAGAAATGAGGAAATCATCTATAATCATTAGACATCTCTTTTCCACTTAAGTTGAGAAGCTAGTATATATAAGTTAATCAGTTGTGACTGAAATCATCACCCCAAGGGGGCTCACTCTGGCCCCTTTACCTTTGCAGCAGCTCACACAAACCCAGTGTGGTGGGAGGGGATGTGGCGCCTCCTAGGCTGGTGAGGATCAAGTTGGGCACAGACAGCAGAGGGCACTCTGGATTACTGATCTTGCTCTGCCCATGGGTTGTAGGTCATTACAGAAGCCATGTGCTGTAGAGGGGCAGAATGGACTTGGTGCTGTGCTCAAAGTAGAAGGCATGTCTGGTGACTTTGACAGTAGCCTGGGGCCATGGCAGCTCCTGAGTCCTGGTCAGCACTTTGAAGATGTGAATTATAGGTAGAAACACTCCTGAGGGACTGACTAGGAGATGTTCTTAACTTCTGAGTTGTGGCTGGCATTTTGAAGCCTTACTGTAAGCTACTAACTGTTGGATTGGAAATAAGGACTCGAATGTGTACCTGTCCTGGTTAGGCCTGATGTGTCTACTTAGCTTTTCCAAAATTCTGTGGGCCCCACTCCCTACAGGACAGGATTCAGTCAGGTGTGTGTATGGGTAGATCCAATTACATATAACTGGACACTTCAGAAGACAGCTTAAATTGTGACTCAGCTAGAAAGGCTCTGTGATGGGGACAGAAGGAAGAGTCAGCACTGACTGCATCTCACCAGCCCTCCCTTTCCCCTTTCCGATCTTTGTGTCGTGTCTCCCACCCACCAAGTGCTCAGAGGAACTTAGGAAAGGAGGAGCCAGAGCACACTGGGGACCTCTCTTGGGTCCTCCTTGAGAGGGTGGCTGCCTGAGGGAAAGGAAGAGGAGATCCAGGCTCTGGTTCCAGTCAGGTATCCTCTGCTAATAGCAGTGCTGTCCTGTGTGTCAAGACAGTTGTGCTTCTGCCCAGATCCCTGCCTTGATAAAGGATGTATAGGGTGCATATCGTCATGGGAGGGAGGCAAGTTGTCCCACTGGACTTAGAAGTTTAGGTTATACGGTAAATATCTCAAATTCCTTTTTGTGATATTTTTGTGGGAAAATGAGTATTCCAAATGCTGAAGGGCTTCCTGTGGAAGAAGGAAGGGTATGATTCTGTTTAGCTCAGGTACCACCTGTCTTGACACCTTTCTGGAGGCTATAAGAGGCAGGGTCCTATGTCATGGGAGGCCCTTCCTTTCTAACACATCTGTGCCAAGTGCCTCTAGAAGTGCAGCATTTTGATGGAAAGAGAAGTTTCAGCAAAGCTGAGTGACAGCCTAGTTTAGAATGTAAGCATAATTGCACTGTGTAACCTTCAAGCTCTGACATTTGAGGAGTATCTGTCTACATTCTGAAGAAATGAATTCCCTAAGTTGCTACTGTTAAGCTTTAATGTCACCGCCAACTTATATGGTGAAACCCTAAACCCCAAAATGATATGTGAAGAAGGAGCCTTTCAGAGGTAGATTTCAATGAGGCCATGAGAGTGGAACCCCACTCCTACCCCCGCCCCGCAAGGTGGGATTTGTGCCCTTTTATGAAGAGGAAGACACAGCTCTCTCCACTACATGATGGTGTGGAAAGGAATATGAGTATTCAGCAAGAAAGTGGCCAACTGCAAGGCAGGAGTAGTCCTGACCAGACATTAATTATATTGTTGCCTTGATTGGGGGCTTCCCAGACTCTAGCACTGTGAGAAAATAAATGTGTATTGCTTAAGCCACCCACATTGTAGTATTTTTTTTGTTTTGTTTTGTTTGTTTTTTGTTTTTTGTTTTTTTCTGGT